CAGAGATTTACACACAGGTGCCGAGGAAGCTTTTGACCCTGGTTTATGAGCACCAACTTTCCCTTGCTGAGTTCAGCTAAGGTCCAAGAATCAGTTGCAGACTGTTGTGAGGCATGCTGAAAAAGGACAGCCAAGGTTGAATGGTCGAGCTGAACGCGCAGTCAGGACTTTGAGAGATCTCTTTAGAGGGAGTTTCCCAAACGGATTCTATTCCACCTGGCAGGCTCCTGACACTCGTCCGTCCAGGAAACGACCTCGTCCTGCGAAGGATTCGAAATCTAAAACACTGCGTGCAGGCGTGTGGCTGCAACAAAACGACCCCGAGATATGCTTGCAATTTTGCTCCAGGTTGCATTTCAAGCGAGCCAGCTTTGCAGGGCTAAGAAAAAACAAAAAAAGAAAAAAAGGGGTCCCCAAAAAAGGGGTCCCAAAAAAAGGGAAAAGGGGTTTCCTTTGGCAAAGCTTGACCTCGCTTGAAATGCAACCTGGAGCCAAATTGCGGCGCATATCTCGGGGTCGTTTTGTTGCAGCCACACGCCTGCGCGCAGCGTTTTAGATTTCGAATCCTTCGCAGGACGAGGTCGTTTCCTGGACGGACGAGTGTCAGGAGCCTGCCAGGTGGAATAGAACCCATTTGGGAAACTCCCTCTAAAGAGAGAGCTTGGTCTGCTCTGCAAAGAGGAAATGTGCTCTGCAAAGAAGTGTGCTCTGCAAAGAAGTGTGCTCTGCAAAGAAGTGTGCTCTGCAAAGAAGTGTGCTCTGCAAAGAAGTGTGCTCTGCAAAGAAGAGGAAGTGTGCTCTGCAAAGAAGAGTGCTCTGCAAAGAAGTGTGCTCTGCAAAGAAGAGGAAGTGTGCTCTGCAAAGAAGCGTGCTCTGCAAAGAAGCGCAAGTGTGCTCTGGAAAGAAGCGCAAGTGTGCTCTGCAAAGAAGTGTGCTCTGCAAAGAAGAGGAAGTGTGCTCCGCAAAGAAGAGTGCTCTGCAAAGAAGCGCAAGTGTGCTCTGCAAAGAAGTTTGCTCTGCAAAGAAGCGCAAGTGTGCTCTGCAAAGAAGAAGTGCTCTGCTCTGCAAAGAAGCGGAAGTGTGCTCTGCAAAGAAGTGTGCTCTGCAAAGAAGAGGAAGTGTGCTCCGCAAAGAAGAGTGCTCTGCAAAGAAGCGCAAGTGTGCTCTGCAAAGAAGTGTGCTCTGCAAAGAAGCGCAAGTGTGCTCTGCAAAGAAGCGCAAGTGTGCTCTGCAAAGAAGTGTGCTCTGCAAAGAAGCGGAAGTGTGCTCTGCAAGGAAGAGTGCTCTGCAAAGAAGTGTGCTCTGCAAAGAAGCGCAAGTGTGCTCTGCAAGGAAGTGTGCTCTGCAAAGAAGTGTGCTCTGCAAGGAAGAGTGCTCTGCAAAGAAGTGTGCTCTGCAAAGAAGTGCAAGTGTGCTCTGCAAGGAAGTGTGCTCTGCAAAGAAGTGTGCTCTGCAAAGAAGTGTGGTCTGCAAAGAAGCGCAAGTGTGCTCTGCAAAGAAGCGCAAGTGTGCTCTGCAAAGAAGTGTGCTCTGCAAAGAAGTGTGCTCTGCAAAGAAGCGCAAGTGTGCTCTGCAAAGAAGTGTGCTCTGCAAAGAAGTGTGCTCTGCAAACAAGTGTGCTCTGCAAAGATGCTGAAGTCTGCTCTGCAAAGAAGTGCTCTGCAAAGAAGTGTGCTCTGCAAAGAAGAGTGCTCTGCAAAGAAGAGGAAGTGTGCTCTGCCAAGAAGTCTGCTTTGGCAACATAGAGAGAGCTTGGCCTTGTCAATGTTGATCCATTGTTGACTCAAGATGATTCAAAATTGATTCAATATTGGTTCAACAATGAAGCCTCCGCGCCACCTGCCCGGCATCGAAGCCTCCACCCTGCCGCGCCACCTGCCCGGCATCAAAGCCTCCACCCGGCCGCGCCACCTGCCCGGCATCGAAGCCTCCGCCGAGCCCGCGCCGCCCGAGGTCGGAATTCCGACTTCGCTCTCCCACCGAGGTCGGAATTCCGACTTCGCTCTCCCACCGAGGTCGGAAGTCCGACTTCGCTCCAAGCTTCCGACAATCCTGCGCTGACAACCGGATTGCCCCCTTCAATCCTGCGCTGACAACAGGATTGCCCCCTTCAATCCTGTGTTGGGCGCAGGATTGCCCCCGACAATCCTACGTTGGCAGCAGGATTGCCCCGATGCAGCACCAGCAGCTCGGGCTTGGAACTGTTCTTGCCCGAGCACAGGCTCGTGATGGAGTTGGCCCGGCTGTAGAGGTCCCGGGCCTCAGGCACGTCGTTGATGCTGGCAACGAAGGGCAGGCCGCTCGCAAAGTGCGTCTTGCAGTTCCGAGTGGAAGGCCAGGTCGTGGCCCTCCCCCCTCGTGCCATAGTAGTTCATGGTGCGACCGGGGAAGATGTAGGGAGGGTCAGCGTAGATGCAGGTTTGCTGGGGCGCCGGGCAGGGCAGTGCCCGCAGGTAGGCCAGTGCGTCCTGGCGCCGCACGGTCACATTCGACGGTGGCTGCTGCAGCCGACGCACGCAGCTCAAGGGCAGTGGCTGCTGCTGCCGTGCGAAAGACCCCATTGTCCCAAGAAGCTGTTGCGCAGCAGGGCGTATGAGCAGGCCGCCCGAGGCCCGGCAGGGCCTCTCTGAGCGCCCGGCTGCCTGTCCACGTCGCGCCCCACCAGGCGCACCAAAAAACGCAGGAAGACCGGGTCTCGCCTCAAGGCAGGTTTGCGACGGGCTCGAAGGCGTCGGCGCCACGCACCTTCAGGCCCGGGCGCCGGGCGGCAAGGTAGTACTCTAGCTTTCCGGAACCGAAGAAGGGCGAGTGTAGCGCCGTAGCCGGTCCAGGCGCGGAGCGAGCCACGACTTGCTTCCCATGTACTTGAGCTGCATACCGGCCTTTAGTTTCAGGCAAACACCTTGCAGAAAAACCTCTAGGCGCAGCGGGACACGGCGCGCACGGGCTCGGACCAGTGCTCCGCCACGCAGGGCAGCGCGCTGTTCTCCACGGCCCGATCGTCGAAGAGAAAGAGGCGAGTGAACGGCGCTTCCGGCTCGCGCGCCAGCAGCTCGCCCAGCAGGCGAATCAGCTGCGCGTGGCGCCCGTTCTTGCTGGTCCGCTGCGTCACGCCGGCGATCTTGAAGGCGTCCGGGTTGTAGCGCAGTACCAGCAGCTTGTGACCGCTGCCGAGCGCCACGCTGGCGGCCATGTCAAAGTCCCTGCGCACGTCGCAGCTGGAGTCGTAGGCCTTGTGCTGCTCCTCGTCAACTTCCAGCAGGACGTAGCCCCACGGGGCCGGCAGGGCAAAGTCCGCGAAGGCGTGCGCCGTCTCCGACTCCAACCCACAGCCGCGGAAGGGCAGGTAGTGCTGGTACTTGACGACGATCTGCGCGTCGCGGAGTGCTTGGTGCACCTCAAGTTCCTTACTCTTGGTCACTGCGCGCGGGTTGTCGCCGTGCATCGTCTGCATGCGGACATCAAACTCCTTCTGCTCGCTGAAGGCGTGCCCGCACAGGCCCTTTCCAAATTGCCGCGCAGCATGCAGTGGCCGCCCAAAGAGCACGCGGATTTGCCTAGCGAGCTCACAGAATGAAACTGGAAGGCTGCCGAGACAGTGTCCGCTCTATTGGAAGAAAAAATTTCCAGCGGGTGGGTCGTCCGCGCGACAATGTCCATCGAACAGGCCAGGCAGCATTGGCGCAAAGGCATTGCTCACTGTTGTGCATGCAGAAGGGAAAGAACCGCGCCTGGTCCTGGACAGCACGGTTTGCGGGGTAAACCCCAAGTGCAATATCCCAGAACGCATCAGCCTGCGTAGCATCCGACGTTCGCCTTGCATTCCTGCCAGAAGACACGCATGCATCATTTATCGGTGCCAGCTTTGACTTTAAGGCAGCGCGTAAACAAATTCAAGTGCGCCCTAGCGAGCATGGTTTGCTGCTCTTTCGCTACGCTGACACTCTGTACCATTACCAAGTTTGCCACTTCGGAGCCCGGTTCTCTGCATACTGGTGGCGCAACGCGCAGGCGCATTCCTGCTCAGACTGTTGCGCGGCACACTCTCAGCACACCCGCACAGAGCGTGGCTGTTTGTCGACGACCTGCTGGCAGCATTGCGCCGCCCTTGCTCGCATCACCAATTGTCATTTTTTCGCAGCTATCCCAGCACCTATTTCCTGGAAAAAAGTGCAATTCCAAAAACTGCCTAGTTTGGTGTGGATGGTCCATCGATTTCCACCAAGAAACCATCGAACTCACACCGCTAAAGACTCTTAAGCTTAAGGAGCTGCTCCGATCCAAGAGAATTGAGAGGAAACTCTTAGAGCAAGTACTGGGGCTGCTCATCTGGGCAACCAGCCTAAGCCTAGAGTTGAGATCATGGCTTGCCCCATTACACGCAGATCTGCGTTCGAGGATGCATGATCTCCGTAAACGCACGCCTGTGGCCTGCCTTCCTCTCAGCGTTGAACTCCAAAGCCATCCTGGCATCGCCAGTGCACGGCATCTTCATGCCGCTTGGCCCTAAAGTATTGGAATACCAGCAAATCCCAGTACGCACCCCGGGTGCGCGTAGCAGACCCCTCTGCTGAGCATACCCGCTTGTCCAAGGCAAGCAAAGCCAACGTTGAGTGGCTGCTGCAGTGCTTTCAAGCAGATTTAGCATGCCCGCTGAAAAGAACGGAGCGCACCTTTTGTCGGTCGTACTCTTTTGTTTTTTGATGCATGTTCCCTTACGGCTTGAAGCAGTGATCAAGATTCTAACCACAATGCTGCTTTCATTGGCCGTTTGCACACTGTGGTGTTGTTTGCTCTGTTTGCTCGATGGTTGTTGATTTTTGGAGTTGTTTGCTAGCAACAACATGTCATGAAACACGTTACCGTCATAACCCACATTGCCCGTTGTGTGCTTTTCAGCTTCAACTCAACCACGGGGGCGTGGAATTTTGTGCGCCCTATACGGCAGGGGCCTGAGGTAGTTTGCACGTGGTAGGTTCTGAAAGCTTGTGTGCGCCAAGGGTGGCCGTGGACGACGGCATGGCCCAGAACGTGCAAGTGAGCCAAGCTGATGTTTTGACATTTGCATTTGTATGACACTTGTCTTGTTGAAACAATGTGCGCTGGCCAGGCGCTATGGGGTCTTCCGGACAAGAAGAGCAAGGGCACTCCGCCGAAGTGCTTCAACATCGCGCCAGCGACTTGATGGTCGTGTTCTCTTAACCTGTTTGGGTTCTGTGTGACCAAGGCCACATTTTTGTTGGTTGCGACACAGTCCGCTCCGCATGAAATGAGTGACGATGCAGGCAGCTCTTGAACCCCAAGGATGTTTTTGCAACCGCCTGCTGAGCACGTTGATTACCCCGAGGTCTCGGGTGCAGAAGAGTAGCATCGAGCAGCCGCTGAGCTGCCGGGTGCACCCCGTCACGGTGCTCAAGGCTCGATCGGGCAGCTCGCGAAATTTGCACCGCAAGACTCCATGATTGGATCCTTTTGCACCACTTAATGACATGCCAAAATTCATACCGGAGTGAATCAACACTTGGCAGTTCTTTTTGGACCTTCTTTGTGATGGTTTTAAGACCTGATTCCAGCTCTGAAAAACCCTCACTGTTTGAGATCCTGGATGCCTACGTGCGGCGGCCGGCGGGGGCGACGCGAACCATCGGCACCCTGCTGGGTTGGATTAGTGGCGGCCTGAGATGTTCGGGCAGGGTTTCCCAGATTTCCTCAGGTGTTTCAAACGTCTTGGTCTCCTTGGTCAAGCTGTGAATTTTGCTGGCTGATATTTTCTGGCAAGAACAGTGTCATTTCCAAACTGTTTTCAGTGTCTCGTTGAAGAAGTTGCTTGGCCACAAACCTGGGAGCAATGTGCTGGAAGCATTGCTTTTCAGTTTTGGACTTTGGAGAAGGGGGTGACCCCGACTTTCTACTTTACCTTTGTAGGGACGACCAGATCAAAGGAAGCGGACCAGTTGCAATAGGATCATGGCTGAGGTGAAGGCAATGCAGTGGACATCACCGACAGCTTTCCAGTGCCTCACAAGGCCGGCCTGTTTGGCTTGCCGCTTTCCTTTGGGTTTACAGCCTACCTTTGTGGATGGAGTTCCACAGGTTTTCTTTGGGAGTTCCCAGAGGCTTTTGCTTTGCAGTTGCTGGCGGCTTATTAGCCCAAGGCCCCATAGATGTCAGTATGTTTGCTTTTTGCTTTTGTATGATGGAGTTCTTAGGCAGCTGCATGGATGGGATGTTGGCGAGGTAATACGTAACAAAGGTCAGCAACACGAGCTTTGTCAATCTGCTTGCCTCAGGTTGATAAGCCAGACCACTTTCTTTGTTGCATATGCTCACCAGCTAGATGCGATACCTGCCCAGGAGAACGATGAGGGCGTGTCCATTGACCAGGACACGCACACACGCACACCAAGACGTGATCAGAAGAGACTTAAAACAGGTGACAACCGTGACATATCCTGCAGCGTGTTTGCTTGCTGCAACCGTTCTCTCCCTGGACTGAGCAAGCACTGAAAAATGCCTGTCAATGCGGATGTCAGGGAGGTTTGTGGCTGCTAGATCTTTCTGTTGAATACACTTGTTTGGAGCAACCAAGCACGGTCTGTAAAACGAGCAAGAGTTACGCTATTGTTTGTGGAAATATGTCAATGTGCGAGGGCAATCAAGGTGATGCATGAGTTCAAAGCCACACCACTGCAAGTCAGATTTCCGCGGTTCAACTTCAATTTGTGCTTATGTAAAATGATCGTACTGGGGGCGTGACTGGCAGTCATGACTTGCACTTCCATGTGTAAGCTCGTTGGTTAGGACTATCACAAGTCCATGCTGGAGTTGAGACAGAAAGTCTCGCCGCGTGAGGTGGTCGCCGGGCCCCTTGCGAACAGACGCAAAGCGTCAGGGCGAACGGTCTAAGAAGGCTTGAGGTCAAGCTCCTTCCATTCAGGTTGACACTTCAACAGCGGGTGCTTTCCACGGCACATTCTGGATTGGCGTGTCACTGCGGGATATCTTCAACACTGCGAACCAGGTCGGCTGGTTCTCCACGGGTGACGAGATCAATGCAGCTTCCTCCGTCATCCATGCCTTCTACTGCAAGAAGGAGCCACTACACAACCACCCAACCACCCAACTATCCAACCACTCAACCATCAAACCACTGAACTACCGATCCACACAAGTGAACGCAGTCACAGCTGCCAATAGAGGATCCGCGGGTTGCCAGGAGGCATCTCAGTTCAATCCCACGGCTGTGCTCCCGGGGCCGTTGCATTTCCTCATCGATGCCACGCCCGGTCAGCAGCCGGGCTCTTGGTTCGGCTGACCGGGGAAGGGACGGCCAAACCTAGTTTGGCATCCTCCTGTATGGAAAACCTCCTTAGCACCTGCGTAAGGGTTTTGGATGCAGCCCTTTGTGCAGAGGCTGTTTCAGCTATCATCTCATTAAATTGCAAGCGGATTGATCCCCGCGGAATGAATTTCCAAGCTCCTTCCCGCTAATTAACATGCCGGGAACTTGCGGCGACACTTGGGCCGGACTGTCGTTCGTCCCAGGCGCTTCAGCTTTGGGACACCTCCCTCAGCCCGCGAACTTGCAAACGGGCTAGTAGGCTTCAACAGTCCCCTGAAGTATCAATTGGTGTGCCCAGAGCGGGGCGAGGAGACAGCCAGCGGGCGGTGCCTTTTGGACAGGCGTACTGTAGATAGATATGGCAGGTTTGACGTATTTTCGAGGGGAAGGGAGGTATGGGGATCAATTTGTGGATTTGGTTGTGAGTGTTGCAAGTAACATGGAGTGGGTGAAACATGCAGACAGAGTGCTAAGCCTGTTGCCTTGCAATCGGTTCGGAGTTCGCATATGTATATATATATATATATACTTATAATTTCCCTCAACAAGAACCATCGCGTGCATTGGCAAATATGCACTTTCAAGGCTTTCAGGCCTGCAACCTCTCTAACCGATTCTCTCTAGCCGTATTACGCGAAGCTTTTCGGGCCCTAAAGCTTTTCCCAAACTCTCAGACAAGCGTGAAGTGGGCAATTCGGCATTGTTATTTGTTTTCCTGCACAACAGTCGCCATCAGCCGAATCATGACTCGAAGATGTGTATGATACAGACTGACTTCAGAGCTGCAACGTCAGGAACTTCGCCATCAAAACCTTCGTGAACGTTCGGACGACTGTGGCCTGCAGCTCAGTTGCCAAGTTGAAACAGATAATTGGTGCAAGGGATCAGTTGCAAGCACTGATGGCGCAGCATTGCCTAGGATCAGGAAGAGGGGGGGGGGGGCAATGGGTGAAATCCCATTTCTGCTATCTTCGATTCCAAGGTCAGAAGACATGGGCGTTAAATAGAACACTTAATTTAGATGCCTGTTTTCGTTGCTCACAGGCTTTCAACTTACTTGAAGAGCTTTGATGGATTGCTGAAGCAAGTATTTGCAAACCAATTTGGACCCATCCAGAGCTTGCTCATTTGACAAACTAGAGTTGTGCTTCCCTTTGAAGACGACACGAGCGCCCTCAAATCTTTTTTTTCCTTTTTTTTTTTTTAAATATAGTTATGCGAACCAGGCGAGCCTAGGCATTTCTACATCCTTGAAGATGAGGGCAAAGGGATTGCTATATGACCACACTTTCAGCAACCTTACTGGTGCTTAGCGAGTTTGGGGACTGGTGCAGCTATTTTTGTAGCGTTGATTGTTCCAAGAGAGATGATCCTCCATGATGTTGATTGAAACCCTTCCAGCAAAGATGGCGCCTCCATGAACCCTTGCAAGTGGATTCATGCGATTCCTGGCTAGAAGGTTCTTTGATCCAGCTGAAGAAACCTTATCATTTCACGCGCAGGCAGAACAACTGGATTGGTTCTCCGACATTTTAGAGACCAATCACACTATATGAAATTGTATAAACATATTTGCCAATTGCGTGTAAACACAAGTCTTGAACCATTCCTTGTCCTCGATGGCTTGTGTCTGTTGCATTGCCACACGCTGCTCCGACACAATATTTGACTTCCTGATTCCGCGGTGCTTGTTCGCAGCTTCCTGCGACCCTCATAGACTCGGTAGACGTGTCAAGCTTCATTGGGCTCCAGGTGTCCAGGAGGCCAGGTCCCCTTGAGAGTGTCTCAGGCGGAGAACCTGCTGCAGTTCCATGAGGTGCCGCTGCGGGTGCAGACCTCCGCGGCAGAGAAGCTGGGGGGCTTTGGGAGTTCAACGAACGCCAAGAGTGTGGGAGGGGGTTGGGGGTGTCGGCGAAGACCCAATGCAAGTCGGGCTGTGGCAAGGCAGCACCTCTTCTTCCACTTTTGCAAGGTCTATGGGGAGCTGGCGGCTAGAAGACAGCCTTGGGTTGACCCGCCACCTAGCTGAGGTCCAGCATCTCCCAGCTGATGCATGCGAGACGGGCCAACAGGGAAGCCCAGGCTTCCGGCAACGCCAAGGACCGCGAGATGAGCGCGCACTCGGCAGTAAAATGCTACTCGTGGTCTGGTCCGGGCCTTTTGGTCCTTTGGTCCTTTGGTATTTCTTTGGTCAGTTCGTTGGCCCTTTCTGTTGCTGCAAGTTGTGGCGGCTGTGTCGTGCGGTGCTTGCATGTTTTGCCGGCCAGGACATGGCCTCCTTGGACGGTCTCCAGGGTGGCCTCAAAGAGCTCTTAGGCACCCGTCATTTGTTTCGATTGCTCCCGGACCGAAACCCTAAATCCCGAAACGAAGACCTCATCCCCCAAACCCAAGAATACCGAAAGCCTGAATCGTGACATGCACTTGCTTCAATTGGGCGCGGAGCTTTGTATACGGTCGCTGGCGCAGAAAGTGCAGTCGAATTACATGGGATGACTCTTTGGTGGCTAGTTTATCGCTTTCATATTTGGTGCTGCTCCGTAGGGAAGTCAGATTTGCCACAACATGAATATGCATGTTTTCTGTTTGGAGTATTTTAGTATCAAGTCAGCATGTTTTGCTCCTCAGCCCTGATCGAGGGGTAAGATGTTGGCTAAAATCATAGATGCTTGCAGGGGTCCCTCTCTCTCTCTCCCTCTCTCTTGCTCTCTCTTGCTCTCTCTTACACTTCCATGTATTGTGAAGTTTTGGGTGACTATTCATGCCCCACAATAGTACAACTATCAATGACTATGCTCATACGTCATGATGAATCAACCTGTGGGGACTGTAGACCATAGACATTCGACACAATATGCACCGTGGTCAAAATACCCTTGTTCTTTGGGTAAAGAGACCACGTAGTACAGATTGTAGACAACCATTATAAGGAATCCCACTCGGACCATGAGCATGGCCCACGAGGAGTTTGGAGCGCGCATGCGAAGAAGCGCCGGGCCAGGCTTGTCCCGGCGCATCCAGCAGTATGTCCGAGCGGTCCAGTCCGGAAAGGCAGGCTGTTGGGCCATTGTTGAGACAGGCACAGGGTGTTGTTCAGCCGACCTCCCTGCTGGGACATGAACCGTGAAAGCACATTTGGTAAGTCTCTCGCAATTTGTTTGATTCTTTGGTCTCATGTCTAATTTCGAGTTGCGTAGAACGGTTCCTGGAACCAGAGGTTTGGGGGTGGGCTGCACGACACGCATGCGTTGCCAGTGGCCTGTGCTCTCCGCTGCATTTGCGATCAAGCTGTTAGGGCTTAGCCCCTGGAGCAGGCTTCAGTCCATGGTCTGCTGATAGGCCGGGCAAGCAAACCAGTTGCCCGCTGAAAAGAACATGGCACCGATTGAAGACGCCTGTCAGCATTTTCAGGATGTCGCGAGAGACAGATTAATGCCTCTTGATTTGGGCTGGATGCAAGGGTGGAACAACTCGCGGGCAAGATCAAGCCAGGATGAGCAACCCAACTCGCTTTGCAGGCGAGATGCACATCGAAGAGGTCATCATTGATGGATTCAAGTCCTACTCGACCCGCGTGCCCGTTGGACCCTTTGACCGGCAGTTCAATGCTATCACAGGCCCGCTGAATGGGGGTGGGGGGGTGGACCGCTGCCATCTCGGGAGGCTTGTCCGTTTCCGTTTGCCGCTTCTTGTCACGTGGCAGGTCTGAATGGCAGCGGCAAGTCGAACATCCTGGATTCCATATGCTTCGTGCTTGGCATCTCGAACCTTACACAGGTTCGTGTGGGCAACCTGTCGGAGCTGGTCTACAAGCAAGGCCAGGCGGGGGTGACCAAGGCCAGCGTGACCATCGTGTTCAACAACCAAGACAAGCAGAGCCTTGGCAGATGGGTCGTTGGGGTTGAGGTTCGGTTCAGTTGAGACGGTCAGGTTGGCACTTTGGCATGGTTGGCACCTTGGTATGGTCCGTTCGTAAACACGCTGAGTCAAAAGGTAACATTAAGTAACCGCTCCCTTGGTGTCTGTGGGTTTTCGCAAGAATTCAGTAGAAAACGTGATAGCCCGTTGTTTTGTAATATAGATGCTGAAGGCTTTGAATCTTGCCGGTGGTGACCTGGCTGGAGGAACAGTCCAGTTGGCTACGAGATGCATGACAAGATCATCATCACGCGCCAGATCGTGATTGGTGGGCGGAACAGATACCTTCTGAATGGACACAACGTGCAGCAGAACCAGATTCAGAATCTTTTCCATTCAGTTTCTCTGAAGCTCGCTTGTCCAATTAGCAATCTCTCAAGCTTGACGGAGCCTTTGTTTGTCTATCACAAAGGGCTCCAGCTAAGCGGTGTGGACTTGCTGCCGGTCGCCAGGAATGTGAACAACCCTCACTTCCTCATCATGCAGGGCCGCATCACCAAGGTCATCAACATGAAGCCTCAGGAGACCCTCAGCATGATCGAGGAGGCTGCAGGCACCCGCATGTACGAGAACAAGAAGGCTGGAGCGCTCAAGACCCTGGAAAAGAAGCAGAACAAGGCGCGATCCTGGCCTAGAGCATGTACAGGTCTCATGGGGGCTGCAAAGCGAAGGGCACGGCAAATTTCGAGCAAAACAACTTATCGCTTATCTATTTTGTACTCAAACCAAGCTTGATTTTGCCGCCCCTCGACCCCCCGCAAGTACCTCTAACGACTACCCTTCTTGCCATGCGCCATCTATCCTTTGAGATCAGCTTTGCGCGGGCCCTCCGACTTGCCACGGCCTAACTGCCAGACGCATGCCAGGTCGACGAGATCAACCGCCTTCTTTCTGAGGAGATTACTCCAACGCTGGAAAAGCTGCAGAAGGAGAGATCAAACTACATGCCGTAGCCCTGGTTGCTGACGTGTTCCTTCGACACTACGGGCACATAGACGAAGCAGTTTTGAGAGGTGCATCAACTAAATCAGCTGGAACACTGCCAAGGATATTAGGCAGCCAGACAACGCTTTCATTGACATAGACATTTTGACTCGCCCAATTCCAAGAGCATAGGGCATTTTGGATGCTTGATGCTGCAGCCAAAGGCTGTGGGTGTCCAACAACAATGAGATTGAGCGGCTGGAGCGCTTTTGTGCCACTTGGACAGTGCTTATTTGGTCACATTTTATTCCGTTGGCCACTTCCCAGATGAGCTTTTGTCTGTCCCTTAGGCAGGTAGCATGAATGCGAGCGCAGCTGGAAGACATTTTGAGCTGGGCGAGGGTGAGAGCCTTTTTGAAAGCCTGCACGTTTTGAGTGCAGGTGGCTTACGAATATGTCGGGTTCAAGAACCGCTTGGAGAACAAGAACCAGCAGCTGGAGGAAATGGAGGAGCTTGGGCAAGTGGAGCGTTTCCCTGAGAGCCGTGCTTGTATGCTTAGTGCGCAGCAAGCGCAGCCAGTGAATGCTTCAGCTCCAACAGCTTGGTCACAAGATTTCGTCACAATATCTCCCTGCGACCAAGCATGAGTACTTTTAACAAGTCCAACACCAAATATGATGTCAAACAACTGCATGGCGCCGACAATGCAACAAACAATGCTGGTCATTAAATCAGCAGCGTTCACAACATTGGCAGAACAACTCTTTGCAAACCAGGGTATTGATTATTTGGTCAGCAGCAAGATTCACCATGGCTCATGTGTGCCATCTTGAGCCAGGTGTTGTGTCATGTTTCAAACGAAACTAGCTTCAATTTTAGGCCTCTACTTGGACGAGACACACATCAATCATATTGACACACACACACACACACAAATAGCAGTGAGTTTTTTTGCGCGAACATCATCTTTTTGCAGGCTCCAAGCTCCTAGAGCAAACAATCGTACCATCTTTTGCAAGGATCAAGAGCACCACTTGGAAACGTTTGGTTGTGTTGGGCGACTGAACTGGAGAATTCAAGGATTTGGCTGGTCCCCCAAAGTTACGCCCAGATGTCACCGTTGGCTCCATGGTATTCTGGATGACATAGCAACGTCACATTCTCTATCATTGAGGGAGCAGTCTGAGCAAATACAAAGCTGCAGTCCAGGGAGCCTTGCAAGCCACGAGTGTGGCTTTGTTTGCTTTTTGCGCTGCTTCTATAAGCGAGGAGAGCCTGGCACAGATTGCGGCTGGCATCAAAGAGCTGACGGCACGGGACAAAGCCATTGAGAAGGAGATCAAGCAGCGCACAGCGTCGCGTGACAAGGCCGGGAGCTTGTGAAGTGTGCCTTTGCGTTCTGGCGTGCAATCTCTCTCTTTCTCTCTCTTCTCTCGCTCTCTCTCTCTCTGTCTCTCTCTCTCTCTCTCTCTCTCTCTCTCTGTCTCTTCTCTCTCTCTCTCTCCCCTCTCTCTCCCTCTCTTCAATCTCTCTCTCTTCTCTCCCTCCTCTCTCTCTTCTCTCTCTCTTCTCTCCCTCTCACTCTCTCTCTCTCTCTCTCCTCTCTCTCTCTCTCTCTTTCTCTCTCTCTCTCTCTTCTCTCTCTTCTCCCTCTCTTTCCTCGTTTCTTTCTTTCTTTCTTTCTTTCTTCTTTTCTTCCTTTCTATTAGACGAGCTGCTATGGTGACCCAAGTGTTTCTCCCTGTTCAAGAAGCAGAAAGGTAGCCGGACAGTGATCCCCTTGGTGTTGTCTGCTGAGCTTCACCAAGGACCATGGGGGAATCCCTGAACATGTCCTTTTTGTCGTCCTTCGAAACAACGCCCAAAGGGTTCCCAGCTCAAAACAAGACACCCGCATTTGTGTGTTCCAGCTCAGCTGCCAGGCTCGATCTCAAGAGCTGAAGGAGCTGGAAGATAAACAGAACAAGCTTTCCAAGGAGTGGGAACGGGTTGCGCAAAAGCAGTCTTTGGAATGCATGGAAGGACCAGACTTTTGAAGGATGAAGCCAGTTTTTTGGTGGGAATGAATGGGGCACGCTCGGCTTGTCAGGTCCCTCCGGTTCCTTTTACTTTTCATGGTTGAATGAAGCAGCCTTTGATGCCGCCCTGCCCCATCGCAAACGGAGCTGCTTCCAGCTTTTTGAACAAGTGCACAGCAGCATGATATCGAGTGGGCAGAAAGGAGGCCCCAGTCCCGCACAAACAGTCCATTGCTCCCTCGGGAGCCAGTTGCGTCGCAACAAACACCAATCCACCAGGCTGCACGGAAGCAAGTTTTCCCAGCACCCTTGCTGAACAAGACCATTCATGATGAAAGGTTGCTTTCTTTCTCCCGAGAGTCTGAGTGCTTTGAGGAGAGCGTCAGGATCCCTTGAGATGTGTTGAGAACAGAGCCCCAAGCTAAAGATCTTGAGGACATCGCCTCCATGGAGTCCAAGCTGAAGAACAAGCAGGCGGAGCTGGACTCGGAGAAGGAGCACCAGAAGAAGTCCAGCTCAGGTGCCAGTGCTCTGAGAAAGGGTCGTGGCGTTGAAAGGGCGTTGGGCCCCAGGCTTTGTTGGTTGCTTGTGCAGAATGGCTTAGTCTTGACTGGTTCTGAAGTGGCTTGGGTTGAAGTCCCGAGAACAACACACATAGGCCGTGTCCTTTGAGGAACTGGAGGAGCATGCTTGGTTGACAGGGGTGATTGAGATGACGACATTCTGGTGACATTCTGTTGACACCCTTCATCAATATTTGGGCCTCAGCTGATTTGGGTGCCTTCCAGGTACCACCTCTGACGGCCTGAGACCAACAGCTTGACTTTGGGATTTCCGGTTTGCTTCAGCTGGATGTTCGAACAGGGGTTGATCCACATGGAAACGACCTGTCGGAGGCATGGGCGAACTGCGGAAGCAGCTCCAGCAGAAGGAGGCGGTCTACGAGAAGGAACCTGACAGTCTCAGCTTCCGCGCTTTTGGTTTGTGGGCTCTTGCAACCTTGGAAAGTGCTTGCCCCTCTCCCACTGGCAAAAAGCAGAACGGTGATCACAGGTAAATTGTCCTTTGCTCTTACCCTTTTGCACCATCCAGCAGAACAGAGGCCAATCCTGGGCAGCACATCCTTCACTATCTTACCTGAACAACATCCGACACACGAGTCTAGCACATGCCCGGAAATAGTCCAACAGCATTTTTCTTGAAGCTCTCTGATTCTGGGAAGGACCTTTTGTGGACATTTTCCTTTGCCGTCCGTTTCCTTAGCGAATCAGGACCTGACAATCCGGCTCCCCAGATAGTTTGTTTTTTTGGGAGGGACATGAAGCAGTCATGACCATTCCAGGAGATCGGTTTGGCTTCTGCCTTCTATTTCCTTGCTTGGCTTGCCTTGTTGTTGGGTGAGTTTCTCGCGTGAACCAGATTCTTTGTCCGTTTGGTGCTTTTGCACAGGAACACAACAAGTACCTGCAAAACGGCGGCATGCTGGGGTATGTCGTCCGTTTCTCTACATCCCATCCCTACCATTGATTGGGGCACAACCTAAAGCCAACCTCTTCCTTGTGTGAAGCCTTGCACTCCCCCAGCTGCAGGAGAAGAGCAAGTACGAGAAGCTGACCCAGGAGGAATCCGCGGCGCAGAAGGCGGGAGCTGGACGTGACTTCGCGTGATAGCATCAGTGCATGTTTTGGCACGTCGCGAAAACAGAAACTGACCGGCTCCTAGGGCGGTTGTGGGGGTTGCTGAGGCAATGGTGAGTAATTCAAGCTCCATTTTTACACATTTGGCCGTCGCGCAGACACTAACTGTGGTCATGTGGCCTTTTGTTTGGCATGGCCTATGCTGTGCACGAAAAAACATGTGTGTTTCTCAATTTTTGGGACCACCTTTTCAAGGCTTCTCTTCCAAATGGGTAAGACCTGATCCAGGCAGGATGGCGTATGCCTTGGCACTGAAGGCGATGTGGTGTGTGTTGTTCGAGTTGGTTCCATATTTGGGCTGCTATAACAGAAATCTAAAGGAACCACCCAGAGGGGGTGCTTACGTTCCTACAGACAAGACGCTATGTTCCAGCTTAGCATATCAGAGTTTGTGGCTTTGCCAGGAGATAGAGAAGGCGCAGTGGTCCATGCAAGCTGTCACGGCAGGCCAGGCAAGTCCCTGCATTTCCAGGGGATGATGAGTATACATATATATATATATACATACATACACAAATACATGTGTGGTTTCGCTTCTTGAGGGTTTTTTGAAAGAGGATAGATGGGTGGGCAGAGGCGTGAGGAGGTTTCTTTATATTCATTCACGTGCGGCAATGAGCAAATTGGGGTTGATTTTACCATTCCAAGTGATTTCCTCCGATTCAAGCCGATCCGCAAGACCCAAATTGCCGATGTTCACCGATTCCAACTGTTCTCAACCCTATATTGCCTTTGCTAGTGCTTCCACTCTGTTGGAGCAGATCGAGTAGGCAAAGTAGGGATTTCTTACTTGACTGTACACATTTTTGTCACCATCTTTGCTCGACTGGAAACACTTTTGGGAAGAAAAGCGCACGTCGCTGGATTTGGATGTGTCTCTTTAGAGCAGCGCTTGCGGTAGCTGCTTGTCGCGACCTATTGGTCTTTCAGCAGCGCCGACTGCCATAAAGCGCCACCAAGCGCATCCAACCGCCATCAACCACCACCAACCAGCATGAGCAGCCGCATCCAAAGCGCCCATACGAAAACGTTGCCCGCGGCTGCTATTGGTGCGACGCCTAGCAACTTTATGTAACTCAAAGTTATATGCAATTCATGGAAATCCCACTTTGGTATTGCAGAGAAGGTAACCATGTCCTCCTGAAACCAACGCCTTTGTTCCAAGCAAGACCGCTTGAGGGACGAGCAGTTGCATGGGATTGCCCCTGGCCGCAGGGACGGATCATTTGCTCCAGCATGCTTCTTTTGGTGCTAAAAGCCCACAATTGGTCTATTTGCCCCAGTGGAAGCCAGTAGCTGATTGTATGAACTCATCGAATCCAGGCCCATTTTGGGGCCCCTTCAATGACTCCACACTCCCCCAGCCGCTTTCTCAGGCATGGCAGAGACCTCCACAGAGGGGGAGCAGCGGAGCGTCCGGGAGCAGCTGCTGCACGCGCAGACGAGGCTGCAAGAGATGCAGGCCGTCCGCCGTCAGCCGAGCTCGAGCTCTCGCGTGGGGAGTCTGGGGAGCGAATCACTGGGATGGGGACGCAAAGATGAGTTGAATGCTTCAATATGGTGCTTCACTGGTGCAGAATTCTATCCTCCCCCCCACCCCTCGCCACGAAGTGACAGGCGGAAGAGAAGACCAAGACGATGGCCATTGCCAATCTGAAGGCCTGGCTCTTGTCACAGCCACTTCCCCGCTTTGACGCGTGAAGACGAAAGTCTGACGATTGGTTTGTTCGAAGATGCTTGGTGTGAGACATAGCAAGAGCCGCATCAAGTGCGGTCATAGCTCCAATAGGGCTTGCACAAGCTGTAACAGAGGAACTGCGCTCGAGCCAGGAGCGCATTGCCCGCGCGGAGCAAAACCTGGGAAACAGCAAGCAGGACGGTGCTAAGAGGGGTTTAGGGGGACAAGCGGGGTGGCAAATGCCAGGGAGCAGGGGTTCTTAGCTCGAGTTTCCTTTTGTCCTCAACCTGCATGAGCGGAACGGCCAAGTGCAAAGCGCTACCTGCAGGGCTTTGGAATGTGTTGATGCTGAGCTCTTTTCAGCCCTTTGAACATCAAGGAGAGATGGGCGGCACTTGGTTGGCATGCTTTGAAAGCCCTTGTCAACACATGTTGTCACGAGGCAAAGTTGATCTTCAGCTTGAACACTCCCGCGTCAACAGATCCTTTCTTCGCCCAACTTCACAATGCGCGATTTTGTGTTGGCCCATCCACACCTTCAGGCGCTCGATTCCTCCTCCTGCCAGCCCTGAGCCCGTGGCTTAGGAGGACAAGCGCTTGGCCAAGGAGCGAAGCGCCCTGGAGGCCGCGGTGAAGGAGCGCTCGTGCAGGGGCGCCGGGTTGTGCTGTTCGACCAAGGTGTCAAATGAGTGCAGAAAAGGGTGTACCAGATGGAAGAATTGGAGGAAGTAGAAGGCTCGGGCCAGTCACGTACTGTAGCCAAAATGAGGGGCTTTAGGATGTGAATGAAGGTGGAGTTATGATGTCATACTTTTGGCCCATTGCGGGAAGCTCGGCTCCATGTAAAGGAAAGGGTTCGCGCCAAGTCACAACCTCAAACTCAAGCATTCCTAAGAACTGGAGACTTTCTCCGGAAATTGGGAGATAGGAAAGGGATAACGGAGAGGAGGCCTGAGGCGGGCTTTTCAAGTCTTGCCGATGTCCCTTCCCTTCGCCAGTGGGTCAAGCCCATCATAAGCTGGACGAGTTCAATGCACGTCTTTCATCCATGATCCCACCTGGCCCAATGGACCGAGGGGACAGTAGCAGCGAACCCGAGGACGCGTGACACAGGATGTGTCAAGTACCATTTCTCTTTGGTAGTCTCAAAGTATTCAAGTCCTGGTCTGAGAGAATGACTTTTGCAGTGCTGATGCCTTTAGGCCATTAGTTCAAGGAGCCTTTGGACAAGCAATGCCTAGCCTAACGACATCTCTCTTGCACCATGCCAGCAGTTTGTGCCCCGGAAGCACCCTGCGGCACTCACTCACAGCTCTGCCAGCTCTGGGCTCGTCAGCTGTTTGAGGTTCTCATTGTGCACACCACTCGCGGGCCCTCCTTGGCCAGTACAACTCTTTTCCAGTCTCAAGACACAGGACCCTCTTGGTTGTTTTTGCGCTGGTTCCCCTTGAGCCAGCCAACTGCACAAAGGTGCCTCCAAAGACACACCCAGTGGAATGTGGGCGCGTTGCAAAAACGGTCGGACATGAGCAGTTTCATGCCAAGTTCCGCATGGAGACTGTGAAGGAAGAAGTGGATGAGGACGTTTTGGAAGTGGATGACCATGTTGAGGCCCAGGACCTACTGGGGGAGCCGACCTTTGTGCCTGGCACCGTCCTGCTGGACAAGTTATCCGCCCTGTTGCACACGGGCCGCGGCAAGCTGCGTTACGTTTCCGAGGGCGGTTGGGGCGTGAACGGCATTTTGTTTGAGCGCTGGAGCTCTTTTCGGGCCAACTCCGACGGGTGCCGCTTTGTGGACGAGGCTGACTGGCGAACGGGCGCCGAGGACTGGACAGAAGAAGAGCGGCAGCAGTTGGCAGACTTGAGATCTCAAGCAGAGTTGCTGCCAAGTTCTTCGCTTCCGCAACCCTCAGCCTTGCGGCCGCGGTCCTGCCGACGGGCGCTCTTCCGGTTTCATCGGGAGCGCTTCCGCGAGAAGCGTGTAAAGAAAGTGGCGCCCAAGGCAGGTGCCCCGGGCTCTGGCTCCGTCAAGGGGACTCCGAAGGCGGCGCCCAAAGCGGCGCCCAAAGTGGACTTTGCAGGCTTTTTGAAGTTGGTGAAGGAGCAACTGGCGGCGACAGGGCACATGGGAAAGTACAAGGCCCTGGTGAGCGCTGCCAGCGAGGGTGCCTCCTGCGCTCGGCTGGCAGAGATCCTCGAGGGCTTCCCTGACCTGGTTGCCGAGATTCCCACAGCGAACCCGGCAGCTGCAAAGGAGCCTCCCAGCGCCAAGACCAAGCGCTGTAAATTCTACGAGCAGGGGCGCTGCAAGAAGGGTGCCGCCTGCACTTTCTCGCATATCGAGATCGACAGCAAGGCGGTTGCCAAGGCTGCGAGGCCCGCGCCCACGCCGAAAACTGCTGCAGCGGTGCCGGCGCAAGCACCTGCGGTGTCCATTGTGGGGGACCCCGTGGCCGCCTTGACACGGCTGGCGCTGCCAAAGGCACGGCCCAGTCAGCGCCTGCGTTTGCTGAGATACCTGCGGGTGCTGCGGCCGGGGGAGAGGCAGGTCTTCCTGTTGCAGCGCTCGAAGGACGAGCATCTCAGCTGGGTGCTTGACGAGGTGGTTGGCCAGCTGCAGCTGGAGAACTACGACACGTTGGCGGTGCGCTCGGCACATGTGTGCGCGGTGAGGGACTTCTTTACCCATTTCGGGGAGGAGGAGATCTACGAGTTCAAGGCTGCGGAGCTGCCGTTGGCACGCGCCAGCAACGAAGCGCGTCTGCAACTGGCGCTGAAGGCGAAGGTTGCTCCTCTCTTTGTGGATGATCCAGGACTTGAAATGGAAGAAAGTGGGTATGCCAAGCGGGCCAGAACAGCTGGGTACCAAGTGAGCGTGCTACAAGTCTGATTGCATCCCTCGGAGCCGCATACGAATTGGGGCCCATAGGGTTTCCGGAGTGCCGTACTGAGCTCGGTGCGAAGCTTGGCCGTTGGGCTTCGTAGCCATGGAGAGGCGGAAGTTTATCTAGTGCGCAAAGAAAAAGCAACTTGTTGCTCAGGCCTCACAGCGGGGTGTCTCAATTAGGCGGTGCCAAAAAGGGCATACCTGCATCAGACCCGTTGAGAGAGCCCCTGGCCCTGCGCATTTCAAAGTGGGAGGTGTCGCCTTCACTTCGAAGACCTGCCTTTCCTGTTTCCGGTAGGAGAAGCAGTCGCAGCTGCAGAAGGCCGCTTTCGACCCCGAGGCCTTCCAGCAGCTGAGGCAGGCCAAGGACAAGGCGGAGGCGCGGGGCTGGGGGAGGATGGCACGAGCTGGGGATCCGGTGGGATCCGGTTCTTGGACCGAGGTGAGTTTGGGGACGAAAGGCTCGTTGCACCCCGCGAATCATTCGGCCATGTGGCTGCCAGGCTTGCCGGAGGCTGTTTTCAACTGAGTTGCCAAACTGGTTGAAGCCCTGAATGGCCGAAGCACGAGTTTGCCATCGCCACAGCCCCAATCCGGGCGAGGTGCGCCATGAGTCGATATTTCCTGCTGTGAGGCCGGCTGGCACTCCATGCAGGAGAGGCTGGATTCACTGCGCGCCTACCTCAACGGGGTGGACTTCAGCTACTCCGATCCCTGGAGGCTGGATTAAGGGATGACGTATCAAGATGACGCATCAAGATTCTCAAAGCCATGTGCTCACTTTGTTTGCCGGTTGGCCCTGCACACGTGATTCGTGGCGCACGTCTTGAAATGACCCATTCGCAGGGGCCTTCAGATTGGTTTGGGGGCAACTGGTGAGGAACTTCGACCGCTCCACCGTGAAGGGATGTGTGGCAAAACTCTTCCACATCAAACCCGACTTCGCAGCAGCCTGAGCAGCTGCTTTGAGCGCCCTACGGGAAAAGGCCTGCACTGAAATGTAGGAAGAGGGGTTAAAACTTACTCCTTAGCCAGACCCGTACGGTGTGCGGGTCTCCACTTCGCGTTCTCAATTCACATGAGCCATTCACACACTTTGTTGCGCCAGCGAGCTGCCCGCATGGGTTGCCGAGGCCAACTTCCACCGTGCTTTGGAGGTGTGTGCCGGGGGAAGGCCCGGGGCAACCACGTGCTCACAAATATTTGGAGGATACCACTAAAATGCGTTAGCTCCTTGTAGTTTCCCT